GCTGAAGTAACAAATATTTTGTGTCTTGGGTGTATTGCGTGTGATCTACGAGAAATTTTTTATTTTAAAATTTAAATTAATACGCGACACGAGAAAAATTAAATATAAAATTAATTTACAGAAAAAATATTTTAAAAAATTTAATAATTTATAACAGGTTAAATTGTATTTTCGTAAAAATCTTAATCAGATTCCATTGATTGTTACTAAAAAACGTTTTTATTCGAGAAAAAATGCACTTATTCATCGTATCTATTTTAAAATTCTATATTTTTAAAGAAATTTCTGTAGAAAAAAGAACGTTTTTGAATTTAAATTATAATCGATAATCACGGCGATCGTATGACATAAAGTTTACTAAATATAATGAATTTTTCCCTTAAGAAATTAAAAATTCTTACAGATATTTTTATAAATTACTTAATCACTTACTTTAATTTTATAATTCTATACATATTTGTATTATTTATTAAATTTTTACAGTGTTTTTGAGAGTTATTAATGCTTTTCTACGTAAACAAATTGTTTAAATTCAGTTTAAACGAGGATATAAAAGGAAAATACATTAATCCGATTCGAAATAAAACACAAAGCAATAAGAAAACAATTTATCATAAGTAGAAAATATCGTTATATTTGATCATATATTGTCAACCATAAAATCTATTGAATAAAATATCTTTGATTCGCATTCATCTTTTCTCCTATTATTTATTTATTTACAAACAGTCTTTTTATTCAAATATTTGCAAAGTTATGTGTTTTTTTAAGACGAAAGACTTTTCTAAGCTGTCTGTCATTGGCCTAGTGGATAAAACTACCGAACACCGGTAACTGTTGGCGCCTCCCGCCGACTTTTCCGGCTTTTCTTCCTAAATCTAGCGCCTTAATAGGGGCCAGTTTGTGGTCGCGAGTTCGCGCATCGCCAATTTGCTAGCCACGTGGAATTTACCAGATTTTCTTCGGGAGTATAAAAGCAATTTATAGAGAAAAAATAAATTCGTGGATCTTCACGGGAATTTTCCCTCTATACGTTCTCACTTATAGGGAGAATTTTCGTGACGATATAGAAATTTATTTTAGTATTTGCTTCTATAGATTGTCACTTATAGAGGCAAAATTTGTATCCTGGATGAATCTATAAATGAATTATTTATTCATAAATATTGTTTTTATTATATTCCATTTAAATAAGTCAATTTAAGCCAGTCTAGAAATTTTAATATTGACTAATTTCGACTGAAAGCGATACGATAATACAATTCTCCATCGTATAGAATGACAATAAATATTTACGCACTCACAGAAGATTCATCCATCATTCTTGTGTTATGGCCGAGGATTAAGCCAGTTGTTACTCATAAACCTGTAATTTTTCCTGGTTCAAACGGATTTTTTTTTTGGTACAGGGATGTGCTTAATGAGAAATGTCCACAGTACAGAGTGTTAAATCCGATGGGATTTGCCATTGATTACCTATCTATGTGCTATTAATGATTGTTGTCAGATGTCTGTAGAATCAGTTATTTTTTGTGTTTGTAAAGAACCACAGCTGTTACTAACGCGCTATTATTGAATTTAATTTTATTTTAACACAAATAAAAAATAGCTAATATACTCGAATTTATATTGTTGTAATTATATTATCATTTCCAGTAATTTGTACATTTACATCAATTTTTTAAAATTCGTGTTAAATATTTAAAAGAGTTGGCAGCGTTGCATTTCTTTATTTGTCTTCATCCCTAATAAATGCTACCGTTACCTTTATAAGTCTTCAGTTTGGTTCGGGGGGATATTAAGGGAGTAGAGTCATATCTCCCGAATCAATCGTCCGATTTTACTAAAAATTTCTACATACATTTTCCCCTAATACACAAACCTCTCTGAAAAATTTCAGAAATTTTCGATAAAAGGCACAAGAGTTATTAAGCTTCAAATTTCATGAAAAAATCCATGCCCCCACATACTATCATCCGTATATACAGAAAAAATCCCCAATTGTTTGCATTTCTAGACGTTTCGAGGCCCCAGAGTCCATAAATACAAAAATCTTGGGGGTCATTTTAGACGATCGCTATACTTTCCTTCTGTTCCATAACAACCGGAAAAGTAAAAATAATGAGAATAGAATGATGTTTTGTTTGTAATTTTAAGTTGTTTAAACTTTAAATCATCATCGAATTGAATTTGCTATATTTATTTTCTTCAAAAGGTCTTTCTTCGTTTTTTATTTTTGGAAAAGTTAAATATTCTATCTTCCAATTTCAACTCGGCACCGAACGAAGGAAAAAAAAGCACTATTTTCGTCATAATCCAAAATGACGTAAGAGGAAACATAAAGGAAATTCCTCTCGGGCTGTAGAAACATAATGGTTGTCTATAATCTCGAAATTTCAATCCAACTTTACTATAATGCTTTCAAATTTCAATCGTTTACTTCTTGTTTTTTCCAGAGATATTCAATCTCACGAAATCTTTGCTTCTTCGGGAACAATGCCCGACATCAATGTTTAACAAAGGCAAAGGGTCATCATAAACTGTACTAAGCATTCGGCCCTACAACGGCATTAAAAACTGCGTGTTACAAGGATTTTAAACTCCTTTTTTCTCAGAGAAAAAAGTCAAATAAAATGGATTCCTTTTAAGTATTTAGAAATTCTTAAATATAGAAAGCCAGTAGAAGATTATTTTAATAAGATTTTTATAAAGAATCTTTATTTTCAATGGTTAATGCTGTTTTAGCATTCTTCAATGTAAGTAAATATATATAGGCTATATTATTCTATATTATACAGTAAACCTGTCCAAAACGGACAAGAATAAAAAGGAAATTTGCATAAACGGAACGGTTTTCTACGTTAAAAAATAAACCTGTTCGAACGGAAACCCGCCAAAGCGGAAAATATTTCGTCTCGTAAGATTCCGGCTTTTACAGGTTTTACTATGTTGTATACAGTCGCGTAACTGCTCTGTGCCAGGATTACGTACAGTCAGAATGAAGAAAAATTAAGCAGAACATAAAATTATTTATTTATTTCAAAATTTTTAAAGTTTAAATCTTATTCCCAAAGTCTCTGGGGATTCAACACCCACATCACCCTCATAAGTATTATAATATTCTATAAAATATATTTTACTCCTCGCTTATTTTTTATGCAGTTTTTTAAAAACTGGATCGAAGTATTAATTAATTAAATAGCTTAACAATAAAATCAAAACGTTAAAGACAAAAAAATCGCTTGTAAAAATATATAGAATTCATTATTTCGAGTTTACTCCGTGAGGTAGATGAGGCGTTATAAAATTTTAATGGAGGAGGATCTGGTGACGAATCATACGAGCGAATAATCGAGGAATAACTCGCCTAATAATTCGAAAATATATTTATTTTCCAGCCACAAATGGCACCTTCTCGTCAAATTTCTATAAAAAAAATCGGCAAAAATCAAAAGAAAACTAATGGAATCGGACAAAATAATGTATATTATATAAATTTGTTCCGCTTAATTACAAAGTTTATTCCCTAACCCATTGACATTCACAATAATTCTTTCAATCCATTTAACACAAGTTTACATCATTATAGAGGCAAGATGCTGTAGCTCCGACGGCATACGTTATCACTGACGTCAGGCTACCCGGGAATGACGTCAGAGAGACCGGTGCTGTCTCTCGTATATTTGTAAACTATGCGAGCACCGATCAATTCTTGTATCTGCAAATATCTATACTTTGGCAGTATTTTTACGGTTAAATATTTAAGAAATGGGTATTTTTTCCCTGGCCAATCTTTAAAAATTTGTAAATTGGAGACGAATTTTTCTTTTTAATGACACTAGAAATGAATATTTTTATGTAAGCTTCTATCGATTTTTGTTAATAACGCATTTAATACAGTTCTAGTTTTGATCAAATCCTATATTTTATGTCCCATTTACGAGTCAACGATTTCAAAATGTTGCGGGTAATGCTTAGTAAGGAGGGGAAGTGCCACTTATTATTTTTCAATCCCCGTATATCGGGCCATTTATAATACCGATATATTAATAAATTATTACGCCCGATAAATATTAAAATTGCCCCAAATGTACGTTACTATATTTAAATATTATATTTCTCTCCCAAAATTATAAGATTGGATCGTTTCGTATAAGGAAATTCTCTCTTATTTTAATATTTAATTATATCTTTTTATATAATATGGCGAAAACATAATTTTATATAAGATTGTGTTTTGTTTCCAGCACAATGTTCATTACGCTGGCAGCACCATTTCTATTGCCATTTTATTGTTTGCAGCAGATCGAAGAGAATGCAGTAATTTGGATGGTTTCCCAAACAGAATTTCTTTTTTATTTATTTACTTTATAAAAAAATCATATTTTATTTTAATAGTCTCCAAAGTTTTACTCCAAAAGAAAATATTTTATTTTATTTTTATTTTGACCTTGATCCGAAATTAGATAATATAAAGCTATTTGGACTCGGTCTTCGATAAAAATTAAAACGATTTTTAAGAATTTTCTATCATATGGGATTTATCGATTAATAGATCGTTGTCTCGCCAACTTTCACTCGCCGGTACCAATTAATGGCAACGTAATAATTACTTTTTGAGTACTTTCCCCTCGTATTGCTCCTCGCACGTGCCGATATTAACGACTTCACTCTGCCTTCAGCGTAACACCACACTCTTTAAACACCTCGGTATAGTTGTACGCGGCTACAGCTCGAGTGTAAACGTACCGTAACTCGATTTACAAAGCGTTATATAGAGGAGGGGTTGCCCACTCGGTTAAAAAAACAAATCAAATTTAAGAAGCGAGTACGAAGCGGCCGTCGTTATATGGCACTAGTTTGTAATTAATACGAGTTTAGGCGATTTTTTATGGAAATAAGAAGAGGAAATTTAGTCGGGCTTCGTCATTAACCCGAAGGCGACATTACTATTCGATCGTTACGTCATACAGCTATGCGCAGTCTCACCGAGAATGATACACGTCGGTCAGTGCTGAGGTTATACGAGCTTGCAGACGTGTCGGGATGTTCGAAAGGTGGAGATGGAACTTGGCTTTTATCTACGGGTGAGTAGTTTATATCTGCACATACCCGGAACGATTTTTTCGACCCGGATAATTAATTAACAAACTCTTCGCTTTTATGTTTAAATAAATAAAAATAATAATACATCGTTAAGAGTGTAGATAATAAGCGCGTTTTTCGTCATCGTGTAGAACGACCCACCTTAAAAACTTTTATGCTTTAACGGCACCGAAAAATCGAATTTTGATGTTGTTTACCAGTTTCATTTTTGAATTAAACCGTTATAAGGAAGAAACGTATAGGTAATAACGTGTAGAAATGTACGGTATAGCGTTATAAGCGGGATTTTAGCCCATCTCTTTCATTGTATTATTGTTGACATATTTGAAGTTATGTCAATGTGTCAGTGTGTTAGGCTATTTCTTTTAATGCAACCCTCGGGGATGAGGATGACAATACTAATGAGCTTAGATGTCGTGTCTCGTTGACACTCTGACAAATTTATCAAGCACCCCTCTTTTGATTTATTCGAAAATATTTATCAATTTTTGCCGTTAAAATCACACAAATTGTCATTTTAAAATTTACAATATATTTTTTTTCTTATTGTGTCGATTTAGAACGTGTTTTCCCGTGTTTAACGGGTAACGGGATTGGTTCGGATTCTAACAACGATCTCGAGTAAAATAAATATTTGGAAAAGGTATTTATAGTATCCACCGATAAATAGGATTCGAAGATAGTTAAGAGTCGGAAAGTTACAGTTAGAAAATTTTCTTATATTTTTAGCTTAAAATTTCACCTGGTTCGGTGAAAGGTATTTGAAATAGAATTCTAAATTGAGATGTAGTGAAGTGGCAATTTCGTCTAAAGGTACTTTTTTTGATACTCGGAGATGGTGCTGTTATCCATATTTTTCCTCGAAGTAAGATCGAATTTCACGAAGAAATTTACTTCGATTTCAAGAAGGTACAACGACCCTTTTTTTCTTTCTTTTATATTTCCTCCTCTCTCGAGCCTCGGCTCTTACGAGGAGTGTTGTCAAAAGTACTGACAGTCGCGTTTTATTCAAACTTCTTCACCGCTGTGACGTAATACAAGATTTTTTCCAAACATTTCTTAATATTGGATGTCTCGATGCGTGTTGATATATATATATATATATATTTTTTTTTTCTATCAATTTAATAAGCTACGGTTTACGTCAGTAACTCGCGGAACTCGTGTATTTTTCTTTACAGAATTACAAAATAATCCGATTTACTTAGGCAAAAATTCTGACAAATTCAACCAATAAATAAATTTATACTCGAGAGACAACTGTAACAAGATCTTCTTCCTCCATAATTATTGGCTTCGTATCTTAGCTTTAAAATAATATATCTGTGAAAGCTTTATAAAAACACACATAAAAAACTAATATAAAAATAACTGATGAAATCTTATTTCTATCGGGAGATGAAGGAAGGAAAAATGATGAATTTCCTAAGCTTTCTTCTTAAATAAGAACAAATGGAAGACAAAGATCTGGAAATACGTCCAAACCACCGAAGCAGATTTTAAATTGTGGCGTGTGACGAAGCAACGTTATATTTCTTTTAGACCCTTATCATCCATCATCTTTTATTTTTATCATCAGAAAATTCCATATTAATAGCTGGGGGTGTCAATGATTAATATCACGCAGCTGTGACTGGACGTCCACTCTATGTAACCGGACATTATATAATTAGTCACGGTAACTAATTTATCTATATTAAGGTAAATATAACACCGTTAAATAAGTAATAAGTACGCGAGATAAATACTTTTCGAGTTACGTTTACTATTAAACATTACGTCCCTGCTGAGGATTATTACGTATGGACGTAATAAACCTCTGCAAGGACGTCTTCGGAGAATTTTTCAAGGGGGGAAACTTGGATACAAGTAATTACATCAATAAATTTAATTTTGGGTTTTTTTCTACAGTATTTCATGGTCGAGGGTGTAAAGCCGCACGCATCAATCGACGATTATAATTTGTGGAAATTTACTGGATTCCAGGGAGGGGTCCAGTAAAATTCCCGTTTGCTCCCCTTTGAAGAAGCCCGTGATCCTCGGATAACATTTCGACTGAATAATATTAAGTACAGCTGTACTAAGGCGAAATGATATCACTTATCAAAATTAAATTTCATTTATAGAATATTTCTCTATTATCTAAAAGCGTAAGTAATTTTATAAAATTGTAACAATATGATTTACGTCTCTAATAGATTTTGTATTACTTTATCAAATTCGTCATTTTATGTAAATTTTATATTTTATTTATTCTGATGATGACCATTTTCGCAAAATTAATTAGTTTTTGTTGTTATTCGATGGAAGAAAGAAGCTTTTTTCTCGTCTTTAAATAGTAAAATCTATAAATATAATTGATTGTTTGTTATTGTTATCATTGTTGTAGAGGTGTAATTTTAACTGGGATTCTCTTTTCTAGTGTTCTCTTTAAATGGAGGTGACTCGTATCTTTGCTATTAACAATTGGAATAAATAAATAAAGAGCGACTTAAATTATTGAAATTTTAACGGCTCCATCCGATAAATTATGATATAAATTTATTTAATAATACTTAAAATTGATGTAAGTAGCAAGACGATAAATCTTGTAGGGAAAGATTGAGTTACGAAGCGAGTTATATCAAAGAAAAAAATTTTAAGCGAATAAATGTAAAAAGTTGGTCTTTACAAAGTATTTTTAGCTGGTGTAGCCTGATTTATCTTCATTTTTTTCTAAACATTTAGTTTGTTATCGGGACAAAAATTTCCACCAGGATACATCGATAATGGTTGTATCACGCACAATCTCCTTTCCTTTCTGTCGAATTACATTATTAAATCCCTGTATATAAACCAGGTCAACTTAGAAATTGCATGCTCTCTATTGTATACACGTAATGAATCGATGGAGTGCATTATATACACACGTATGAATATATGTACTGGCTAGATTTTGGGTTTATCTATTGTTGTAATTTCGACACTAGCATTAATTCTAGTTAATTGATTATGTAAGAATTTCACTTTCTAAATATTTAATAAATATTGCGGGATACGAAATGTATGATTTTCTAAGAGAGGAATTCGTTAGAAATGGTTTTCGAGCGAATACTTTCGTTTAAATTAACGATTACGGTAAACAATATAATGATTATCAACACACTCGGACTTAACGCTATCGATATAACGCTTGTTTACCATAATTTTACCATTATTTAAAGAGTGGAGGATTAAATGATGGATAGAAGCAAAATAAATTGCGCTCCTTATCTCTTCCTATTAACATTTTTATGTATTCTCTTACCGTCTATTCATTATTATAATCAATTTAAATTATGTTTTATTAAGAATTTCAATATATAAATTTTGAAAAACGAAAATTTTATTTTATGCTCCAAAATTCTTAGTTTTTTCAGCAAAAAACGAAAAAGAAAAATGAAATCCAATCATTAACGGCTTGTTTCCCGTGTTATTAAATTTAAACTTTAATCGAATTGAAATATAAGTTAGCTAAAAAATGTTGCTGTTGATAATCGCATTATGGGCGCGTAACGAATCTTAACAGTAGGCGACCCCTTATAAGATAAAAAGACAAATCTCAAATGGAAATTATCTTATAAAACTCGAGAGTGGTTCCGATAACTAACAACATTTTATTGCTCGTAGCGCTGCCCAATAAAGCCAGCAATCAGTATCTAATAGGACAATGAAGTTAACTAGATACAGATAATGCCTCTATTCGCTGTTAAATTTCGATATTGTCTTCACTCTTTTTAAAATTTAGCTTGTTTTATTATTTAAAAATTTCCAGAATTTTCTCTTCTATTTTTATTTCAAATTATTTAAATGTTTGAACGTAGCAAAGTCCATTTATTTTCGACATTGTCTCGCATGCCACTAAACGAAAGATATGTTTGTTTACTTTATTCTACTTTCTCTAATGAATAATAAAGTATTTCGATTTATAGTCGTTATATTTAAAACTAGGAAACTAATTTTAAGACAGTGAATTTTTATTTTTAACTCTGTTTAATTTATTCCACGTTTTAGGATTTTTAAGTATAAAGGGGTGAGTGGAACAAACTCTTCTTTATTAAAAAAATACGAAAATATATATTAATTTAAAAATAAAAAGATAATAATTCCAATAATACTCGAGTAAATTTATCTATTTATTTAGTTAATTTAATAAAATAGAATTTTTTCATCCGGTCATTTATGTATTCGAGTTATACTCGTACCCCTTCCTCGCTGCCCCCTCGTGTACAATAAATTTTTAAAATATATATAAAAATTTGAAATATTTAAATTAGAATTTCGTAGGGTTCAATTTTTAATATCTTTTCGAATTTAACATTAGCTAAATGCGAGATGTGTAGCGGCGTTATTTGCTTCTAACTGTTGATACGTTCTGGTGCGGAGAGAAGCTTCTGTAAAATCGATTTGCCACATATATTGCTCGGGTTTTGCTATACAATAGACTCTACTTATACGGCAATATCGGGACGTATTGAAAATGGAACAATGTTTTCTATAGATATGGATACTAACGCGAATTTACGGCAAAATATTTCGAATTCTTTCTCTTAAAAAATACACTGGTAATCGGTGGCGGGTTCGCGCCTCACCGACGGGCTGGCCACGTTTTAATAGCCAAGTACGGGTCAGTTTCCCATAGAAAGTTCTCCCGGGAGGCATCCCCTCGGCAGATCTCCCATTTGTTGCTTTGCCTTATCCATCGATCTTTAAATTCTTCTAAAAGTAATGATAATCAAAAAATTTAATAAAAGTTTCTGACGTTTTTCTCCTCTTCTTCTTTACTAAAACTTCTCTTATCAAATTGTTTACTCAAACGAAAATCGATTGTGAATTTTTGATACAGTAAGCTTCTCTTCTGATATAGAAAAACAATCGTTCCAGACGGAGATATACAAATACACATGCCGATATGCGGCATTTGTAAATATTTTTTGATAAAATTAACTTGGAAGTCTGCTGA